AGGCATTTCAGTTAGCCTGTGTAAGATGCATTGGCGGGTGACAAAACCAACTCTATAAACGCGGTTTCTCTCTGCAGCAGGCTTACCCTTCCAGAAGAAGGTATAACCAGACCCCCGTTCTGTGAGTCAAACCTCGTCGAGGAGCCGGGACTCGCTAATGGCTGCTATGTTGATGTTATACCTCTGTTGCCACATGGGTGGTTCTTCTTTCAGGACTCTCATTTGTGCCAGTATCCAGAAGGTCCTGGCATTCCATGCAGCGACCATAAGAGGTTGCATAGTTTGTTTTTGTTTTGATCTATGATTATGATTGTGTTTTCGACCGCATAAGGATGACCTTACTGGTTTCAGTTGTCCAGTCAGGTTGGTTCTTTAGGTTGGCTATGTTTAGGGCACCTTTTATAGCCCCCTTCCCATGTGGGGTGAGCAGGGTGGCTCATTGAAAGAGCTGCTCAGTCGTACAGACAAGATCGGATTGCACTGCTGCCGAGGTCCCAGTACATAAGCGACCATCTTATATACGCCACACATGTGCAGAGTTGTAACTAGAGACTACCAGCAGTCATCTCTGCCTGTCCCCATCGCCACTCGTCCGTCGCCATAGGACTTTTGGGGGTATAGGGGTTTTGATGATGTTTTAGAAGTATGATTAGCTGGATGATGGCTGTGCATTAATTGATTTATGTGGTGAGACAGTAACACAGGCTGCAACCACACATCTTGGCTTCCCTTTTTCTGATCCAGTGGTGCAAGTGTTGCAACGACTGGGGAGAGGGAGAGTTGCAATGGACTGCCGATAACCCAGTTTGTTGGGTTTTGCCTTAGTAACCTGTCTATCAAGCATTGCATTCATCCGCCAGTGTAGTCATTGGTTTCCATGGTGGTCACCTCTTCCGCCCATACGGCCGTTGGGGTCTTGTTGGAGCTCTGTAAGCATGTTTGCCTGATGTGGGGCTCCACCGCAGATTTTTCGTTCGGGGTTTACTCCCGTAGCCTTGTAACTACCAAGGTTAATCTGCAAGGCAACGGGTTGGAAGGCGCCAGGGCGTGTCCACATGCCAGTGGGCCTATGCGCCGTCCCTCTGTGGCCCACTGCTGTTCCGAGATCCCCTGCTGGTCTAGCCTGGGCCCACGAACACACACACACACACATACGATTTTTTTTTCCATTGTCTCGCGTCTCTTTTAGTCTTTACATTCTGGATCCCTCGTTGGGTGAGACAGTTGCCAGCGCTTATAACTTTTCTTGGACTTAGAGTGTCTGTATGGGTGTCTGTCCTTACGTAAATGGCCAACAACAAGGGTTTTTCAGGTTATATAAAAATATTATATTATCATTTGTGGAAATCATTAACATAAAGACAAAACACTTATTCTTTATTTTCCTAATAATTAACAAGTCTCATAGAATAAGTATGTGGAAAATTAGATACAGTCAATGAACATCTGCAGATGTCATGGCGGTTATTAAATTTAATATTATATAACGAAAAACTTGAGCTTGAGTAATGTCAACCATCTTCCAAACACAACCACGAATTTTCCTGCAAAAATTGTGGGTTAGGTTAGGTTATGAAGGGCTTAAGTTAGGTGTGGTTAGGTTAGGCTAGGCGTCTCTGGGTTATAACAGGAGTAAGTTATATTAGATGTAATCAAATTAGGTTAGGTTATAGGTGAAGGAAATTAGAGAAACCCAAACAAAGAAACTTTATGAAAATCTGATACGAACTTTTCCCCAGTGCGGTTGACACCAAAATACACTATAAACAAGGGTAAAACAGACTTCTTCTTTTACGGGAAATGACCCAACCGGTGCACGGGTCATCGATCCACAACGGGGCCTTGGGGGGGGCTGGGAATAAGAGAAAAATAAATAAAAATTAGAGGAGAAAGAGAGTACAGCTGTATATTAATCTATATCAAGAAGATAACGGGAAACCAGCTTTTTGAAATAAGACAGATTGTAAGAGTATGGAGATACAGAAGACAAAGCATTCCACGGTTTGGCTGTGTGAGGAAAGAAGGATGAACTATAACGGGTTATTCTGGTATTCAAACACAGAAATGATTAAAGTAATGCTGTGTTTCTAGCTATGATAAAATTTTTAACAAGGCTACAATATCTGGCTACGTTTCCGGAATAAGAACACAAAAGCAATTTGGTTTGCAGATGATCTGCAATATGAGGAACAATACAGTCTGTAACCATGATTTACTAGGCGGGTAAGACCAACACAATATAGGTTGGAGAAATCGCAATAATATCGTGTGATCTGACAGTACACAGTCTTATCACCTCGCATCTCACTGTGTGGGGCCGGCCACCCGAGGTCACCTTGGACAAATACCTCCTATACCCCCCTTTTACCCACACCATACACTAGGCTATTATAGAACTAGCTGATTTACCCGTCTTCACCCGTGTGGACTGTGGAGGCTCAGGGGAGAGGATAGTGCACTACTATCCCAAGGTCACCCTCACCTCCCTACCAAATTTCAGCTCTATCTTCAAAACTGTGGAAATGCATCCTTTCCGCCCCCTGTGGAAGGACAGAACATAGTGCACTACCATCCTATAGGCCACCAGTACCTCCCTGCTAAATTTCAGTTGTCTACCTCCAGAACTGCGTAAATTCATAAGTAACAAACACACATGATCACTCTGTAGTGTGCCACCGCACTTCATACTTGTCTTTCTCGGCATAATGCGCGATACACAACCAATCATCTCCGATCGTCGTCAATCGCCAGCGTATGTTTAATTTTATGCGCTACACGGATCGGGCGGCTGCTCTCACGTTCACAAAAAAAAATTACACCATATAATAGTAAGATCTTTCTATTTAATATGACGAGAGATTGAGTCTCACGGCTAGGAAGTTAGGTAAGGTTAGCTAGGTTTCTTTGGTTAGGTTGGTGAGGTCTTCTAACAACGCTTCTGCCGATTGTTTTTCTTATCATCTAAGTGTCCACTATAAAACACAGTGAAATTGCGGCGTTTTTAAATTCGTTTTCTATGAAAAATCAGCTGCTGTGAAGTCGTAAATACTTACCAGTTTCCTCAGCAGTTGTAGGTCGAGTGAGCCAGTTATGTATTTCTTCAGATTTGAAGTACAGTTAGCAAATATAAAGAACTTTTGACAACCTAGATATTGCCAGTGGTGGAAAAAAAGTTTTATTTTAGTTAGGCATGAGTCTAGGCAGACATGACAGAGGACTAAAAGAAAACTAAAGAAATGTGAGGGTTAACTTGAATGACTTATGCATGTAGGTTGGCCGTGAATGTGGCTGTAGATGTTTAGCGTACTGATGGCTTAAATGTGAGGATGTGTGAATGATTGAAATGTATTCGTTTATTATAGAAAGGTTACGCACTACGGATGTAAACGAACATAGAAGACGATATGCATTAAGATTCTAAAAAAAAATACAAGGTGTGAGGGTGACAGTGGTTGCCACTGTCGTGGGGCCCAAGAACCAGTTTAACAGTAAATGGCGCAGGTATTGAGGAATTTAAGGTGAAAGTTGGGGTCCATCCAGGGTTGGTATTCTTCTGTCATTCATGGTGCAAGAGGTACAGTACTATAGCGAGATCTTAGGACCTGGAACGGGCGGATGACCCCCCCAGGGTCACAGCTAAAGGTTGAAGAAGCCACAATTTCATAAAACTGTCGGTGCAAACGTTTTGGGACGAGTTTTAAACAAGGACATGCAATTCCCGTAGACTTTTTAAAATGGAACCAGAGAAAACGGCAGAGGGGAAACTATCCTAATGTACTGTTTTATCAAATTATTGTTCACCCTTTTTTTGTATATCTATACTGGCTATGTACTCTGTATGCCTTTACTGTCTATTTACATTGTTTGTAAACCTACGCTACGTACTGTACATAAGCGTCTGGTAGAGGACCAAGAATGGAACCTAGAGGGACGCCATGCAAAATTGGTGAGGAGTCAGACTGATGATTATTATAGCAGATATACTGCTTCCTATTAGACAGATATGAGGTAAACCAATTGTGGGACAGGCCCCTAACTCCGTAATATTTAAGCTTTGAAAGGAGGATGGTATGGTCGACAGTATCAATAATCACCATTCCTTGGCATATTCACCTCAGAAACTACTCTTCAGAGACCACTTATAATTCCACTTGATGATAAACTGGGGCGTGTTTGTAGTTGATATTCTCTAAGGATAAGTTCTTTAAAGGAATACCTAAATTCACAATATGTTTCACTTTAATCAGTTTTTTTTTTATCGACAGGGAAATTTATACCGTATGGAGGAGTGTACAGCGTCAGGCATGTCATTTATGAAACAAACAAACAACAGCGGGCCCAATACACTGCCCTGTAGCCAGAGACGCCATCTGGGCCATCAATGCACTCATGGTCCACTGCTGGGCTTGCGTGGTGTTCCCCACCGGTATATGAAGGCATTCCGAGCGATACTCTTTGATTGTTGGATTGGATATACAGCTCACCATATTATATAATATTGAACTATTGGAATATGAGATCCTCAAGAAATAAAAATGTCAACGCTAAACACTCTTGACTTTCTAACAATGGATGATTTGAGTTGTGGTGAAGTCAACTGGAGACATGAAAATTCACAAAGCCACTTTAATATCCATGTGAAATTTTTGTATGAACTAGATTGTATTATTTAATTTTAATGGATTCGGAGTGTACTGCGCATTTTAATTCTTCAGTTAGTATAAATTTATACGGTGATACTTTTATTTAGGTTCGTAACTTACACGATCCAAATTGTAAACACAGATCAGCTGTTCAAGAAAATGTATAATGTTAAAAATAATTTACCAACAGAGTAATAATATCGTTCTTATTTTTCATCCAAATCTAAAACCATTCCTGATTTAATTATTTTATAAATTCTAAGTATTTTATTGATTATAATCTTAAATAATTTGCGTATCTTCAAAAATAAATTGTATATTAATTATGTTCGTGGTAATTTTTTAACAGTAGCCTAATCACCATCTGAGTGAGGGTTTGATTGTTGTGGGGAGTGGCGTGTTCTCCTTCACCTTATATACCTCTACACACCCACTATACATGAAGTAATATTCCTTAATGCCTTTTTATACATTGAAGTCATTAGTTAGAATTGTTATATAAATCCTGCCAGTGCACTGCATCAACTGAGGGGGTTGAAGTTAGATAAACGGGCAAGTCTGCAAGGCTACATACTTGATTTAGCATGAAAAAAAAAACTTGTTGACAATGCAATAGATATGGAAACGACAATGCATAGAACCTAATAGAACTTGACAGTTTTTAATTCATTGTATCCTGCTTCACAATTCTCCTCCCGGCGCCACTTTTGTTGTTTATCTCGCTGAATCCCTCTTCAAGAGACCTTTCCTAAATGATGGTGAACGCTTCCACGTATTCCTCCTCGCTATTGCTAATGTATATCAACCCCAATATTAAGGTAAGTTGTTTAACACATAAATTAACACGATAATGCATAGAACCTGACCTAACAAACCCAACCTATGGATTGTTGGGTCAGGTTCTATTAGATTTTATTCATTGTCGTTTCCATTTTTGTGTTTAATATCATGATAATAGTGTGTAAAAAATGTTCAACCAATTTGGACAATTCCATCTGGTGGTCACCCTCTTCTACACCTTTACCATATCTTTCAAGGCAAAGGTGTATGTTATGGTTACCTTAATATTGTTTTATTTTTTTGGAGATTTTCCCTCGATTTTCTATATATATATATATATATATATATATATATATATATATATATATATATATATATATATATATATATATATATATATATATATATATATATATATATATATATATATATATATATATATAATGCTGTACCGGAAGATAGTGGTAGTATTCACGTTTCATAAGAACATAAGGTATTATTTTACTCTCAGACATAGCGTGCCCAAAAGTTATAAACTGCTGAAACATTTAGATCTCCCTATTCTGAGCATTTTGAACCCCATATACTGTACATGGCGGAAATGGATATTAGCGACACAATTGAATTTAATTGATTTTATGTAGTTTTCAGACTTTGTCTCTCCTCACAGAGACGCATGCACAATATTGACTGACGTCATCCAGTCGTGACCAATGATGTATCGATATCATAACGTGAATTTTTTTTCTACCAATCACATTTGATTTTTTCAAAGGAAGCAGCCTGGGTAATTTCATTGACCAGTCTCAAAATGGCCGTGGTGGAGGTTGGTTATCATTTGTGCTCCTACGATTATTTTAAGTTTATTGCTGAGTCTTAAGAGAAAGATGATCCTTCTATCCAATTCTTACGTATCCCTGGTCCTTCCACTTCTAACTAAGGTATTGTACTTTCGGACATGGCACGCCCCAAAGTTTTCAACTATTGAAACATTTAGGTTAGTTTAAGCTATGCTTTGTTAAAGGAATGTGTAAAGTTTTAAGATTCAATTGAATGTACTGTACATATAGCTTATATGTTATCCTTTGTTTACAGGTTTAGTAATGAATCGTTTAATGGGAAGTATAGGAGATGTTGTGTCTCAGCTAAAACAAAGAGCCCTCTCATCCATGGAGCTCTGTGAAGCAGCTTTGCAACGTCAAGATAGTGTAGCGAGATTGCATCCTTTCATCACATGTACCTCAGATGTTGCCAGAGAATCAGCATCTCTTTCCCAGAAAAGGTAGCAGGAATAACTCGGATATATCTGTATCACAGGTTATGATAAAAATACAGAACTAGTAAAGTTGTAGTCTTCATTAGGACTCTGGTTTCTAAAACTGTGTCAAACAACATAAGCAGTTTAAATACTGTACTACAGTATATACAAATCTTTCATATAAAAGCAACAGTAAGTAGCCTGATTTATATAAACAATCCCAAGTGGATTTTACATTTTATGAATTTTCAGGTATGGGAGCGGAGAAAATCGTGGTCCATTGGATGGTATTCCAGTAGCAGTCAAGGATAATTTCTGTACCTCAGGCATCCAAACAACTTGTGGCTCAGTGATGCTACAGAATTATGTCCCCACTTACTCTGCCACAGTAGTGAAGAGATTACAGAAGGCTGGAGCTGTAATTGTTGGAAAGACAAATTTAGATGAATTTGGGATGGGATCTGGAACAATAGATTCCACCTTTGGCCCATCAAAAAATATTTATCGCTCAGGAATCAAGTACGACCTTCTGCTGTCAAACAGGTGTGATAGTATTTCAATAGTATAATACCACATTTTACTGTATCATAACACTTACCATGGATTCACCAAGTCATCATATATATATATATATATATATATATATATATATATATATATATATATATATATATATATATATATATATATATATATATATATATATATATATATATATATATATATATATATATATATATATATATATATATATATATATATATATATATATATATATATATATATATATATATATATATATATATATATATATATATATATATATATATATATATATATATATATATATATATATATATATATTAATTTATTCTTGAATTTTTCATATCAACAAAAAATAAATGATTGTTTGATGCATATTTCAACAGAGAACCTGATGGCTTAGATTCCAGGTTCCCAACAGCAGCTGTTGAAGATGAAGATTGGTATGTAGCCGGAGGCAGCTCAGGGGGAAGTGCTGTGTCTGTAGCATCTGGGTCCACTTTTTTGTAAGTACTTCTCTATTTCTTTCCATTAAGCTTTATTTGAGTGTTTTGTTTTTGTTTTTGTCTTACAAGCACAGTCCCACTATGATGCAAGGCGGTTGGAATCAAGCAAACACCAATTCACCTTTAATTTACAGTCATTTGTTTCCTCCAACATTTGCAATAGGTGTGTTCTGCTGTAATTATCCCCATCAATAGTAAGGCCCAAGTTTTATATCTCTTGTCACTTCCTACATGCAGCATATGGACTGTATTCATGAGCATTGTTTTGTTATAAAATTCATAAGATATCATTTGATAACCAATTTATTTACAATATTTGTAGTAAGACCTTGCAAATGCATACACTACAACCTTGAGATTCTGGGACTCCGAAATCCAGAACCTTCAGATAGCCACCGTTAAGTTGGATTCTTCATTTTCAGTAGGACTGGATTCTGAAGTCTTCCCATATCTGTGGTATCCCCTTGCACAACCACGTTGCTGAAATATGAAGTAATACAATCAGTAGCTCTTGACCATTATTCCCCTTGCAGTGCAGTGTTGCACTTATTAGTAAGACATGATTTCATAAGTTTTATTGTAGATGTTTGAACCTAACCTTTAATGTCCAGATTATGAAGTGCTTCATTATAGGTATACTGCACTTAGTGCAGGGCAGTTCTGTTATTTCATATGGTTTTATGAATTCAGACAGTTGTAAATCTGATCCGTAAAGTTTTTATTCCTGCAAAAGAGTGAGATATTGTGTTTCAGAAACCCAGAATTCATCCCTGTATTTCCCATAGGGAGTTAAGATCAGTTTATATAAGTTCAGTACTGAACTGTATAAACAAGGTTTCTCAAGAACATAACCCTGTGTAACTCAAGGGCTTATTGCATATTACAGTACTGTATATGTATTTTTATCTGTACTGGTTAGTTAAATGGATATACAGTATATGGTAATTATTTTTATTTAATAATTTTTTTTTTAATTTCTAAATACCGGTACATTGTTATTATATTGAATTTTGGTGAGTGTCTTTGTATAATCCTCATTTGTTTCCTTCCTATTAGTTTTACCCTTTGATTAGTTTTTTGAAACAACACAAGTTACATACAGCTGATTTAAATGCTACTGCTACACAATTGACTTAAGATGACATAATTTGGTACCAAGGTAGTTTTGCATCCTGACTTTTACCTGATACATAAGGTGACAGTGACCTCATTTCTAAAAACCTTCAGTTAATTAATGGTGCTGAATAACATTTTATTTGCAGTGTTATACATTACTTAAGACAAAAACACAAATAACACAGTCTTGCAGTGTATAATGTATTCTGTAGTTTGGCATACTGTATATGCTAAAAAATTGGATGAATGTTTTGAATTGTATGCATAACTTTTATATGTCTGAAAATTAACATATAATCATAGGATATAAATAATTGTTTACATAATTTATTTGAAATTTTTATTGTATATTTTATTTGCCAAATTTTTACCATACAACTCCTTTAACAGGGCACTTGGGTCTGACACTGGAGGGTCTGTACGCAACCCAGCATCTTATTGTGGCGTTGTGGGCCTGAAACCTTCCTATGGGTTAGTGTCACGCTGTGGACTCATCAGCTTGGTAAACTCAATGGATGTGCCAGGATTGTTTGGCCGTTATGTTGACGATGTTGCTGCCATGCTGAGTGTTGTGTCTGGCTTGGACCCTCAGGTAGGCATAGTACAGTAAATTATGTTGGCATTTGATAAGTAATTATGTAATTTTAAAACAGTATAAACTTGTTCTGAAAGCCACGGCTTAATAGTTAGAAGGAATTATGCAACCGCTTCTCTTTTGTCTTCTAATTTAATTATGTAAGTTACTCATTCATACTCTTCTCATTCTTGACATATCTGTTCATAGAAGAGAGGTTGTAGAAGCATTCTATCATACAGGTTTTTGATAAACTGTACAATACTTGGTAGAAAATTATTATGAGAGCAAGTTTATGTGAGAGAACAAACTTTGAGTACATATCAGATTCAAACTGCTTCCATGTACCGTATACCAACTACCAAGAACTTAATCTCAATTTGATGTATCACCATTTGCTTTGGGACACTTGTCCACTTTATTTTTTTCCACTTTTGAAGGCTAATTTTATATTTTTCCTTTAGGATGCAACGACTGTACCAAGTGATCTACAAAGTTTGCAACTCCCAGAAAACCCTAGCTTGGAAGGTTTAGTTATTGGTATCCCAAAAGAGTATCATTGTCCAGGAATGAAAAAAGAGGTGATTGATACGTGGACAAAAGTTGCTGATCTGATGGAGAATTGTGGGGCTCAGGTGAGTTAGTCTAGATCCTATATGACCTAACTGTTTTAGTTGGTTGCTGATTTATTGCAAGTTTATCTTCCTTAAAAATGTTCACTTCATTAACCTGACAGAGTGCTTAATCAAATGATTGAGGCAAGACTTTCAAAATTCTTAAGAATGTAAGGAGTATATTAAAAGCTACAATGTGTGGTGAAATTTTTCTGATAGGTAGTAAATCTGTGATAACTGTAGTCACTGTCAGTGATGCGAAGTGTACAATTATGAATTACCCCAAAAAATCATGAATACCCTACAGTAAACCCTTTTTATATGGAAGTTCTCTTTTCCAATTACTGTGAAACAAATTCCAATACCATAAAACCAAATATATGAAATTTATAACTTCTATTCCACTCCATTCAAGCTGTCTTACTACGCATCATAAAAGTCCAGAGTATAAGTTATTAGAAAATTTATTATGGATTATTGTCTAATTTTCAACTGGCCAGAAGGAGAGCCCAGCATTACATCAGGATCTCAGAGCATCTATTAGAGATTGTGTGTGTGTGTGTCTGCGCGTGCACATGCGCTGTACTGTACCATAATTACCATACCTACAGATCTAGGACGATGGCTTCAAATTAAGGAGTAAAAACCTTTCCTTCTGCATTTGCTTATAAGACCAAAAAGAAGCAGTCTGCCTTTACACCATCAACAAAAATTTTTAATTTTATATCAGTATAAGCCATGTTGTAATTTCACAGAAGCATTGATGAATGATAAATTTCTAACGGTACAATATCCAATTATGCTTATTATTCTTGTAATCGTGCTTACAGTATTATGTAAGTACTGTACATTAAGGTGTGTAGTAAAATGATGTTAATCTGTCATTTAAGACTTTTAAAGATGTTTATTCCTTTGTGAAATTAAGGTTTTGGTGCTGGTAACATGTTGTTGAAATCTAGGAACACAATCCCATTTTTCCATAAGAAGGTAAATTTGATTCACATGAATTTAGCATTATTGTGACTCTTCAAGATTGTAAAAATCACTTACATTGAAAAGTAATGAAGCAACTAGTAATGTAGGTGATGTAGAACTGACTACCGTATTTAGAATGTTAATGAGTTAGGCATTATTTTACTGAGGTGTAGTTGGACACTTGTACAAGCCGTACATACTGTCAGATGGCATATTACTCACACCTGTAGGCTGGATGAAGCGGGACTGCACTCAGTCAACATAACATAAGCTAACACTATGAGGGTATGAGTGTGATGTGTTCCTACTCCTGTGTCATTCCCTCCCTGTCAGTTTTTACACTTTTCTCTCCCCTACCATTATCTATTCTCTTTGAACCACCCCATGCAAAAATAGGAGAAAAAATATAGAACTGTTTGTATTTTAGTTGAAATAAGGTGATTAATAAATTACCCAAAAGATACAATGTTATTACACATGATTAAGTACAAGAGAGTCCAGTGAAGATGAGTATGTTATATAATGTTTATGTAAAGAAGATAAATGCTAGAATATTGACTGGAGAATGGCCTTTGGAACTCACATTGCCCTACCATTATTATTTATTGATATTATATATGTTATTTTTATTGTGTAACTCATACATTTATCTCTCCACTTAACCATACATCTGTTGCAGGTGCGGGAGGTGTCACTACCACACACAAAGTACTCCATTATCTGCTACTCGGTCTTAAACCCTTGTGAAGTGGCTTCTAATTTTACGAGATACACGGGAGTTTTTTATGGTCATCGAGTGGAATCATCTCATTCCATGGAGGCTATGTATGCCCTCACACGATCAGCTGGCTTGAATGATGTTGTTAAGGGTCGAATCCTGGCTGGGAACTACTTTCTCTTGAAGGAGAATAAAAATAGATATTTTAAGCAAGCTTTGAAGGTGTGTTATTTTACAGTTTATATTATCTGTTTATCACAGCTTCAATATTGGAGGTTTGTGTAAATTTTGTATGTCCCAGATACTTTATAGCCTGTCTTTACTTACTACTTCAACCGTATACTGGGATATTGTGTATGTCTTGTGATTTGCACCTTTGTTTTGGCTCTACAGTTACAGTCGTCCCTCGGTTAACGAGCACAATCCGTTTTAGAAGGTTGCTCGTTAACCGAAAAACTCGTTAATCGAAACCATTGTTTCAATGGGTTTTTGGGTAATTGGTTCCAGCTCACCGAAAATTGCCTAAATTCAACAAAAAAGGTAGAAAAGTACACCTACTTCGAGGTGTGTATGTAGAAGGCTCTTGGATGATGATGATGGGAATTAGAATGGGGGTGGAGAAGGGAGAAGAGAAAGCATTGGGGTGGAAGAGAAGTCACCCCATGGCGCCATTTCACCCATAAAATTTTACTTCTCTTGGTGCAATTCAAGATTATTTTCTTTAAATCAACACTGCACTGCATTATATATTGTCAATATGTAAAATAAATTTCAAAATGACCAATAATTTGCTTGCAAAAACAGAAAAAAAGCATTTAGTTGAAGAGAGTCTCAAGCAAGATGTTACCTCCACTGACTGACGCCTGTATGGTGTGTTGAGAGGCTAGATGGCACACATAAAACTAGTTTCATTACCTTCAATTATGTTCAATAATTGTTAAAATGAGTAATCAATTTAATATTAAACTTTTAAAATTATTGAATAGTATAAACTTCTTGATATTTGCTAAAATGGTAAGGAATTTAAGCCCTAGAACCGATTACTGTATTGGCGGACTAATACTACAGCTGGTGGACCGCCAAATGCAAGCGAAATCATGTTCAGGTTGGCTCGTAAGAAACTCGTTAATCGAGGGATTGCTCGTTAATCGAAGTTAAGAATCTTATGGAAGGTACCTCGTTAACCGAGGCGCTCGTTAACCGAGGGACCACTGTATTACATACTAAGGTGATAAATATGTGTAGAGGATAAACTTACGGAACATATAACTAACAGTACAGTACAGTCTCTCCTCGACTTACGACGGGGTTCCGTCCCGACAATCAGGTCGTAAGTCGAAAAGGCGAAAATAATACAGTACAGAGAAATTCTAAAATGGGTGTCTCCTCTTTTTCTCAGCACCACGAGAACTCTCACTTTTACGCTTGCCAGCCATTTTAAAGAGAATTATAAACGAAAATTTTGTCAGTACACAGTGCGATCACTAACGTCGGGACTCAAAAATACGTATAATGTGAAATATATTTGAAACGACCATGGCCGTCGTATGTCCGGGTTGTCGTAAGTCGAGGAGAGACTGTATTTCAAAGTTGAGAATGGGAAGTAATATGGGAAAAGACTGAATGAAAGATGAAGGATAGAGTTAGGGCATCTGTGAATGAGTAACTAACTTTTAATAACACAGTTGTGATGTTACAGGTGCGCCGCCTTATCTCGCAAGACTTTGATAAAGTTTGGTCCAGTGGCGTTGATTTACTTCTTACTCCAGTGACACTGTCTACTGCTGTCAGGTATACCAATAACTTAGTTCCTTCCTTCATCTTTAAATTTTTTTTTTTTTTATATATATATATATCCAGCAAGTTGATCTCTATAGTTCAACCTCTTGTTCAAAAATTTAAAGCCAGTTTTAAATGATGCTGTGACAGTAGGAAAATTGTTAGAAGTATAAAACATGCATTATAAATATTTTCAGATATGGAGATAAAGTGATTTGTCAAGATAGGGAGCTTTGAAGTGTGGGAGAAATTCATACAGCTTTTTCCCTCGGCCAAGTTTCACACCGACACTCTTTACATAATTGGTTCAAGAATAGGGTTTGTTTTTCCAGCATTAATGTGATTAACTTCACTGTTACACTGGCTCTATATGTGCCATTTGGCCTTGAAATGAAGGATTAATATTAATTTGGTGGCAAGCATATGGGTAGGTATATAGCAATTTATATGCTAGGTAACCATCTTGGAAAATGGCCATTAAGCTGCCTCGTTCAAGGTGCTTCAACATCTAATATTTCAACATGCTTTACATTTTACCAACTTTGACACTTTCTTTTTGATAAAGTTCATTCTCAATTTTTTACTTACTAATAACTGCCTCCATTTTCTTACAGATATTCAGAATTCAATAACGTAGATAATCGCACCCAGCAAGCAACTCAGGATTTTTGCACTCAGGCAGCCAACATGGCAGGTGTACCAGCGGTAAACATCCCAATATCATTAAACACTGAAGGTCTGCCGATATCACTCCAGCTAATGGCTCCATGGGGACAAGATGCAGCCTTGCTATCTGCTGCCAAATGGATTGAGCAACATGTAAATTTTCCTAGACTACAAGTTTTAGAATAATATTTGTGTATACCTGTATATGATTATTGTATAGTAAAGAATTTTTCACTCACTTCTTTTGTTATCCTGTGTTAGAAATTTTTATTGGAAAGGATTTGCATAGCCTTCCTTCTTACACAGTAGTATACTTTGTTATATGAAATATAAAGATCAGAGACTCAAGACATTTCATTTTTATCTGTGGTTATTCCAAATAACGTAATGGGTGCATATATCAATTAGTGTGTTTTTCAAATACATAGTCACCTTCCCAGGGCTTAGAAAATACGACAAGGGTAGGGAAAATCCATTGATCAAAAAAACAACCACAACCACCACATCACCTCTCATTGATTTTTTTTAGCAATTAATAGTGATTTCTTTTCAAGAGCAATAGTGGCGAGAAGTGGAAGTGATCAAGTAACAGCCTCGTTTAATATTATTGGTGATGAGCAAGCCACGCCCCCTCCACTTTTATGTTGTCATATCAGGGGCTTTCTTTCACAGATGCCTTATCAACCCTAATGACATTACAGTACCTGCCAAAAGCTCACTTGCATTCCTCCCCAGAATCTCAAGTAAAGGCATAGATAACTAAGCACAGTCCATTAGTAAAACCGTCTATATCATCACAGTGATTCTATATTGTGTAGGTATATCATGTACAACATAGACAGTGTAGGTATATCATGTACAGTCAACCCTCGCTTTACGCGGTTCCACTTTACGCGGTACCCTGCTGAAACCGGAATGCTCACTTTCCGCGGTGTGTGTACCCTTTTACGCGGAGAGCGGCGCGAGCAGGGTGCGCACAAGGTCGCCCAGTCATCAAAACATTACCGAGTTCTTCACCCGCCACCCACCACAGCCAGCCCAAGTCAGTGATAGTGATAATGATAGTGAGGATATGGACTTATATGGACTTTGAGGGGTTTGACAAAGAGGCCCTGCAAGCCTTTGTGGTGGATAGTGATACAAGTGAGGGCCAATAATCTGCCCTCTGCCTCGGAACCAACCCCCCCATCCCCGTGTGCCCCGCCATCTTTTCTACTAATGTAAGTGTTAAAAAACCTAATATTATTGATATTTCTCTTAATTATTAATTGTGTGTGCATACCATTATAAAATTAAGAAGTTATTTTTACTACAACGTAGGCATTGTGTCTGAAAAAGTGGAGTTTGGGGGTCGGCCCAGTCTCTATTTCAATTAATCCCATATGTTACGTTGTTCACTTTACGCGGGCCGCCGTGGGTTCAATTGACCGCGTAAAGTGAGGGTTCACTATACAACATAGACAGTGTAGGTATATCATGTACAACATAGACAGTGGAGGTATATCATGTACAACTTAGACAGTGTAGGTATATCATGTACAACATAGACAGTGTAGGTATATCATGTACAGTGAGATTAAGACCTGACCCAGGAGAGGACACGGCCACAAGGTACCTCAGTTAACCCGGCGTTATGACCGTGTTACTCAAGAAACTCATCTGACCAAGACACACCCGGGTGGTAATAATTAGGAAGCATTACCAATCCGTGGCATAACCATGCACCTGGGCAAACACAGCTGTCCAGACCTGACCCAAGTAGAGGTCAAGGTCTCAATGACCAAGAGTTCTCACGGCCGTGTCATTAGCTTAACCCGGCGACATGACCGTGTTACTCAAGAAGCTACCCTCCAGCCAGTACAACTGTCACCTGGCCAGACACCCAGGTTAGTGACAACATCTTCCGGCATGTGACTGCCAATATAAGAGCCTGCAGCTCCTTCCATGGAGCATTAGCAATCGGATTATTATTGTAACAGGGAAGGGGCCGACAGCTGCTTCCCAGAGGGAGAGTTCCCTCCCCAGCACCGAGTCTCCCATAGGAGACATAGTCCAGCAGCACCTACACTACAGCTTCCCCAGCTGCTGGGCCTCCCTCAGGTCACATGTGAGTTCATTGTCAGAGCAATCCATAGGGTGAGTTACTTACGGTGGGAATTGTATCCATTTCATGTTTGTGTCCAAGAGTCATTGTATAGTAATTTCAATATAATGCTCTATTAATGTGTCCATGCCATTGAGTTGAATAATAAATAGCTGTCCTTAGAGTTGGTGTTTAGAAGATTTCCCCTGAAAATATATTAACAGTTAAATAAATTAATCAGCCACGCTACCAAACTTTCCTCACTTTACAATCTAGTTACGTATATATATATATATATATATATTAATGTGTTTCATTATAATAGACAGTGTAGGTATATCACGTACAACATAGACAGTTTTGGTATATCATGTACAACATAGACGGTGTAGGTAATCATGTACAACATAGTATTACGAATCTTGATATATACTGTAATATGCATGAGGACCCAACTGGTACCTGACCATCGACCCGCGTTTGACTGCGGCACGACCACTGCTCCACCCCCGTTACTCGATATCCCGACTCGATGACCCAAAGCAATGAGGGTGTGGGGTTCAAGATGTTTGGTTCACACTCAGGATGGGATGGAGAAAGGAAACTCACAATGTGCTCTCTATATACATGTTGTATTGGATGTAAAATGCAGCTTGGTGCTGGGGATGCAGCATGGTTACAAGCGTGATGTAGAGAGAGCTGGTTGGTGAGGGTGCTCAGAGAAGGACAGCTTGTGGGTCGCCATGCTCGCCAGTGGGAGAGGAGACCACCAGGCAGGCGGAGGAGGAGCGAGGACCGCCAGGCAGGCGGAGGTGTTGCTGGCTGGTTGGTGTAGGTAGAAAGAGAGAGAGATCACCACGAGGTCAGGTCTTAAATAGCGGGGGTAGGCGTGGCTTAGCAGTTGACCCCCGCTCCGTGGTGTATGGCGGCGCTGGTTGACCTAGACCATGAGGCATACACTGGGGAATTGGTGGGGTCGGCTAGGCAGCGACAAACAGCGTTTGTAGGGGAGAATTCCACTGCAAGGGTTAAAGAATGAGTGGAAGGCAAAAATAAAGGAAGGAAGGTGAAAGTGACGAATTGAATGATAGGTTTATTGAGATACAAAAAACATTAATACATCTCAAAGGGATGAAGTGAAATAAGTCATCCCCACCCCAGTCCAGGAATGTCCCTCTCAGGACTCACATAAATCCCTAATATTTCATATAATCAGTTATAGTACATAGTTATATTCTAGATGCAAAATTTCTATATTTCTTTAATATTTCATCTATTTTCCTATTTTTAAACATCCACTCTATTTGCTTGGGGACATTATGGATCATATGAAGATCCTCCCCCCCAAACCTATTTGGGGGGGAGGATCTTCATGTGATCTAGCCTGGGGGGAGGATCTTCAGTTGGATACTTTGGGGGGGGAAGATCTTCATATGATCCGTTTAGGTTTGGTTAGGGGGGAGGATCTTCATATGATCTAGCCTGCGGGGGAGGATCTTCAGTTGGATACTTTGGGGGGGAAGATCTTCATATGATCCGACATTATTTATATGGGTAAGTGGACGGAGAGGGAAGAAGGGAGTGTGGAGGGAGAACGAGATAGAGAGCGAATGTTTGTGGGGAGAGCTGATGGAAAATGTGTGTGTGTGAAGTGAGAGAGAGTGAATGAGTGTGCGACGGAGGTGATAAGTAGGTCACCTTAACAAGAACAGACCCTGCCTGTCTATCTATCTAAATTAAGTCAGGTAAAAATACTCTCCTGGGTATCGTGTTCACTTACCTGCCCTTGTATTTGTTTTCATTAATACATTTATATACATAGAAGTATGTATATATGTAGAAGTTTGTATATTATATAACGTATACATTGTGCGTATGATAACCAGGTAACTGTACATTTTGATAGAACTGTGATGATTTGAGAGTAAACAGGTATAACAATATGTAAATGGGAAGATAAAAATAAAAGCACGGGAACATAATGAAGATGACGTCGTTCTATCAAACATTTTAAGTAGCCAGAAACTGTAGAATCGATCAACACCTTTCACATCTTTCACCAATGATAATAAAAATCTACTAATATAGAAAGACTCTGATAAACTTCGTCTTGTAGATCAAATGAAATTACACAGTACGTTTTTCGAACCTTCATGAAAACCAAGAGAGAGAGAACAAACAGTCAGTGATCTTAACCTAAAAATCACAAATCAGTCTTCTTTAATTTGTTCTTCTGCTTTAATAATGTCACCCATCCATTAATTTTCCGCCCTGTTTTCCACTCATTCGTCCATAACCTTGATTCCCAGGCGGTGACATCTGGCAACTGAACTTCACCAGGCCAGGTAAATCATGGAACGCCAGCAACACGGTGCCAGTTTGCACCTGACCTGTGTTTGGTGAGCAAGTAAGTAGTTATAACCTCATTGCTGTAAAGACTTGTTTTTTTTTGTACATATTGGTGTTTATTGGTTCCTGACCTCCTGAAAACCAAGACTTCGTCCGATATTTACAATTCTCACGTCATTCGTTTTTACCTGCCACTCCCCGCAAATTCTTCGTATAGAATTAATAAATATTCACTGGCCGTTAAGTGAACAGTATCGGTGAGCGACTGATTTGTGCCTTTCACTTTGAACTAGACTTCTCAGATATTGTAAACCATGACTCTTAACATCCACTCTGATACAGTTTTAGTCTCATTGTGTTAAGACCCAGACACGACAAAAGACCTTCACAAAGACATCCTGTTAGTGCTGGAGCTTCTTATAACTGGAACATTCCACGACGACACCTACACTACACCTAACTTAAACTACCCTAGTGTGGTTAGGGTTGGTAGGTTAGGTTAGGATGGATTACGCTAGGTTGGTTTAGACTAGGTGGGGTGGTTTTGGGTTGGTACTTTAGGTTGGTTTAGGCAGTGGCAGCTCGTGAAAAATAAAATGGAGGGACTGCAAGCCTCACACAACAGTAGGATACACAAATTTGACCTACCTCAGGTATGAGTTGTAGTTGATGTCCACACAGTTTATGATTTTGGATAACACATCTCTGTTTTTTTTTTCACCTGTTCATTGTGTTTTGCAACTGAGAGCTTGTATGCTGTGTCAATCTGAGCTGCAATGTTCACTTTACCCAGCAACGATAAATTAATCATGTTATTCATGTTGATGAATATCAATATTACTAGTAACGATGTGCTTAAAGTAATTAACAAACTGAAGCCTCATAAATCGCCTGGTCCAGACGAGGTATATGCTAGAATATTAAAAGAATGTAGAGATGAGTTGAGTAATCCATTAGCAGTTTTATTTAATAAGTCATTAGAATCAGGCCTAGTGCCAGAAGCTTGGAAACTTGCAAATGTAGTTCCGATTTTCAAAAAGGGTGATAAATCAATAGCATCAAATTACCGTCCCATTAGTCTCACGTCAATCATAGGCAAGTTGCTAGAGTCAATTATTGCTACAAAAATCAGAAGCCACCTTGAAACATTCAACCTAATTCATTCTTCTCAGCACGGGTTCACCCAGGGACGTTCTTGTCTCACAAATTTGCTTAGCTTTTTCTCAGAAGTATATGAAGCGGTAGATAATGATAAGTCATATGATATAATTTATTTAGATTTCAGTAAAGCATTCGATAGAGTCTCTCATGAGAGATTGATAAGGAAGGTAGAAGCACATGGAATAGATGGATCAGTATTAAAATGGATTAGGTCATGGTTAACTGGTAGGAAACAAAGAGTCAGCATAAATGGATTAAAGTCAGACTGGGGTGCGGTCAAAAGCGGAGTTCCCCAGGGATCTGTATTAGGCCCTCTGCTGTTTGTTATATTCATTAATGATCTTGATTTAGGCATAACTAGTAGGATTAGTAAATTTGCAGATGATACCAAAATGGGAGAGTGATAAATTCAGACAGTGACTTTGAACACCTTCAAAGAGATCTAGATACTTACATGAGTGGTCAGTAGACTGGCAAATGAATTTTAATACTGATAAATGCAAGGTACTACAGATAGGAAGACGAATACAAACGTTAGGTATAAACTAGGTAACACGAAATAGAAAACTCAGTTTGTGAAAAAGATCTAGGTGTATTTGTTAGCAACGACTTGAAACCTAGAAAACAATGTATTAGCGTTCGCAACAAGGCAAACAGGATTCTTGGGTTCATATCTAGGTCTGTGAGTAACAGAACTGCTGACGTTATCTTGAAACTTTACCTAGCATTAGTGAGGCCACACATGGATTATGCGGTTCAGTTCTGGTGTCCTTATTATAGAATGGACATAGATTCTTTGGAGAGAGTACAAAGAAGAATGACAAAATGATCCATAATATTAGAAACCTTCCATATGAAGAAAGACTGAAAAGCTTAGGCTTACATTCATTAGAGAGGCGTAGAGTTAGGGGAGATATGATAGAGGTGTACAAGTGGGTAAGTGGGATTAACAAGGGTAAAATGGAAGATGTTCTGAAGCTCAGTAATAACGAAATAACTAGAACAAATGGCTTTAAATTAGATAAATTCCGATTCAGAAAGGATATAGGCAAGCACTGGTTTGGAAATAGAGTTGTGGATATGTGGAATAGGCTACCGAGTGCTATAGTAGGATCGGGGACGCTAGGGAGCTTCAAGACGAAGTTGGATAGGCACATGGAAGTGCTGGGATGGGTGTGAAAGGGATCTGCCCTGTATGGGCCAGTCGGCCTCCTGCAGTATCCCACTTTCTTATGTTCTTATATGTTTGGCTGACTGCTCATGTTTCACTATTTTCTGTGGCAAATGCCTCAAGTCAGTCACACCACTTTTCGTCCATGCCGAGTCCCCACCAAACAATAAGCATGGAAAGCAGAATAAAGTTGATGTTTTGCAAATACTTCACTCGATTTTCCATCGTCAAAGGGTAATTAAAGAAAGCACGATTTAACTACACCGTCCACACGTTGTACGAGACTGAGCTGCTTCAAGTGCGGCGGCGGCGCCAATTAATAACAGACATGAATCGTACAGCATTGACAGCAACTATGAAAGTAACTTAAATTTTGGTCTGATTTTAATGAAAATTCACTTAGCAACGTATTGAAAATAATTAAATATCAAATAAAATGATATATTTGTTGGTAGTGTATTATTCAGCTGTCTCTCTAAAGGAATCATACGCCTGGCAGTGAGTGTCTGGGGGGACTGCAGCTCTGCAGCCCTATGCACGAGCCGCCACTGGGTTTAGGGTAGGTGGGTTAGGTTACTTTGGTTTAGGGTTGGTGGGTTAGGTTAGGTTGGTGGGCTTGGGATGTTTGAAAACTAAATGGTTTAAAGGTTCCAGTTCTTGATGGTGTTGTGTTCATCTTAATAGAGACGGCTGGTGAGGTTTATTAAGGTACATAACAAGATAATCCACACAAGTCTCAATTAAACTCGTGAGGAGAAACTTTTAACGTTGGAAAAAAAAATATTGATTCAAGGATCTAGTGCAGAATAAGTGCCGTTATAGAAAGGATAACAAAAAGTGGTGAAGTTGACTGGCAAGTGGTAAGAATAGATGAGAGGTGGGAAGGGGAGGCTGGTTGGATAGGGAGGCAAGAGGGGAGAGGAGGCGACGACGATCATGAAGCTAAGATGATGATGATAACAGCTCTTCATATGCCTCGACCTACAAATGAAATATCACCATTCCAATTCAATAACCAATTCTGAGGTATAAGAACTAATAATGTGCAAAACTGTAGAAATTAACAATGATAAAGGAGCATGAGAGAGAGAGAGAGTATATGACTGACACTAATAACTTGTCGTTTTTTCTTACAGGTGGAGATGAAGGCATTCGTCGTCTTTTTAAGTGTGGCGGCTGTCGTCAGACCGTCTTCATTTCATGGGAGCGTGAGTGCTGATTCAAGTATTACTTTCCTACTTGTGATATTTTCCTCCAACTTATAGTTTTCCCTAATGATTTTCCTAATAGTTTCCTGTCTTTATTCCCCCCGTCCTTATTTCCCTCCTGATTTTATTTACCTGTTTGCCTTACCTATACTTTTATTATTTTCCTTACTTGTGTTATTTACCTCACCAGTAATATTTTCCCTTGCCTGTGTCATGCTAACTTTAAGACTGTACTGTAGATAAAATCCAGGTGCGTTGAGCAGGTATCTTGGAAACACAACTGAACTTTTGTGTACGTTTAAGTATAGGGTTTAAACTTAGTATGACAAGTAACCTTTAGGCCAGTAGACACGCTATAAACTTTTGCTACATACACAGGCTTCATAAACAGTATCGCTTCAATAGTAAAACCCTTTAAGCTTCAGAACTCTATTGTTTTTATCTCTCAGCTATAACAGTGAATCCATCAGAGATCCATCAGGCCACTGAGGAAAGGGAGACTTGATGTAAATTCTAGATAAATAATGTCGATAATACCCAAATAAACGAGACCAAACTTTCCTTAATGCCACCTCATCATCACACGCTATACCAAACATTAGATATTTTAAGGCATTTTGGAACGAAAAGTATAATAATAAAAGTTAATAAAAAAAAACACTCGCCAAGAGACACCATTAAAGTTAACATCACGACCCAAAGACTAGATTACAGTGAAAGTTCTGTTTAACGTACTACAGGGAGAGGAAATTCCGTTATATAGAGGGTCCGTTAGATGTGAACCCTCCAATTCCCATAAGTAAGGGATTATATGATAAGTCCGTTATATGGAGGTTTTACTGTATGTACCGAGACTCTTTACCTTGACTCATTTCTTTGTCCTATCTGTAATGTAAGGAAGTGGTGGTAATAATGGGGGTGAGGAGGTGATATTTAAGTGTGAACGCTTGTGATATATTGTGACCCTGAGGAGATAAAATTAGGTATTTGGTGGTGAAGTGAACATAACACAGGTATATATTATTATTAAAGGTTGTTGTTATCCCCGAAGTAACACATCTACAATATTAACATAGAAAGAAAAATAAGAATTCAGTATATAAACAAAGTAAGAACAATAAGAACAGAGTACAACATTAACATAGTAGGAACAAAAAATACTGTAGGAAATTTTGAACGCACGACCTACCATTGTATCTCAGCCGTTCACAGCGAAAGCTCTTCATTGTTTTCCCAGACACGTTGGAGAGTGTGTGTGTGAGAGAGAGAGATATTCAATTAACGTCTCGTCACGGTGTTGAATGAAAACAGAAAAATCTCCCGTTGCGTTATCTCTCACAAGCGTCTGTCATCTAGGCTGTGATTGGTTGATATGCGTGACGTAATATTTATAAAACGAATTAGATCAGAAATTCTGTCTTAGGTACATCACGTCTCAAACCTATCACTATAGCCTGGATGACAGACGTTCTTTAGCAGTATGACAAGTCCCCCAAGCGACGCGATGTGATTGATTCTTGAGAGGTGAAGGATTAAAGTCACACACACACACACACCACATAATTATTCTCTCGGCTCTTCATTACTTGTCAGGGTCACGGGAAGTAACACACAATTTCGGTGTAAATCATGGAAAGCTTCCAGTAAAACATTCTTCAGTCACTCACTAACACCCAAAGCACATATCAAAATCATATGATCTTTTTAACTCCACATGTGTCTATCATTTCTTCTCATTATTATAAAGTTCCTGTAACACTTTTTAACCGACCCCAATAACTGACACATATAGAAGACCAGTTAAAACAACAAATAACAAAAAAACAGTAAAATAAGACAATAAGGGTACATTTTTTTATTAGTATAAAATGGGGGAAAAGTGACCCTAGTCTTCATCTCGTCAGTTAACAAGGATGTAAAAAAATTATATACATTGTAAAAAATTATGTCCATTTACACGATTTGCTTTTATAGTTTTATTGAGTCATGTGTCATATAAGTTAATCAGAAGCAACATTGATATGGTTATTTATTTATTTATTTGTATCCTGCGACGTCCTTATGAGATCCTCGAGGCTTTTAAAGGATTGTAAATTGAATCTACCGGTAATAAATCCCTATTGAATTACTATCCGGCAATGACGAACCCTAAACACGCTACTCATGCTGGTTGGTTCCCTCGTCACGGCCACCACACACACCCTCACACGAGTAAAAAATAAAATAGACTATATAGTTCTTGAATTTTGATAAAAGATAAATAGACTATGTTATGTTTGCTCTCGTGTAACGTTAATTTAGAGTAAAAAAAAAAGTATTAACTGGGTTTCTATCAAGTGGACTCAGATACGTCGAGCTGGAATGTGAAGAATGTTTACTGGAAAATGTTTGTTGTTCCTGAATATAAAAATGCGATAACAGTCACTTTACTAATCCCTGAGATGTCTAACCTAACGAAGGGTAGCCTCTTCTTCGACGTTAACAAATCCTTGGTTTTATTTTCGAGTCAGATTCTGGGGATTGTTTGGCCATAGTGTCAATTTACTCATCATCTTTGCCTCTGAAAACATTATATAACTAAGTATAATTTCTGATTAGCGAAAACACTACGACTTATATTACGGTCGGAGTGTTGCGTGGAAGTGTTGAAACTAGTTCCAGGAAGACGCATTGCTTTTTTGTTTTGTTTTTCTGTCAGGTGTTTAGCAGGTGAAGCCACGTCAAGGTTGGTGAAGGAGAGGTTATGTAACCAACAGTAACACGTTGGCCTTGTCTCAGCATTAAACTTTCCGGCCTTGGGTGAATACTAGTCAATTTACAGTCAAATCACACGTTGAGGGTAAACTAGTTTGTGGGATATGTCAAGAATTGTTTCGTGCATTCAATGATTATCGTCTCTCTTTGGGAAAATTGATGACGAAGATAGAGATTCAAATAATTTTCTTCCTCGTGGTGAAAACAAAGGACCTTGTACGCAGTGTAATAGTTACTGACTCGTGAATTCATATAATATTCTGACTCACTCAATGACCCGGGAGAGAGGCGGTAAATGGAGGACATAAGACCTTCTAGAACTCTCTCTCTCTCACACACAAACGCACATGCAAATCACTCCCTCTCAACGTACATTCTATTGTCTTTCCACCCTATTTACCCCATCAATTCGAAAGCACACACACACACACACACACACACACACACCTCTAGCCATCATCATCACTTTCACCACCTTATTAACCTTGACGGAATTACTATATAAAATATTGAATAGCTCTTTAAGCCTTGTTTTTTTATTATAGTCTTGCGTGATGAATATTTTGCTGAGGAGGAGAGTAGTAAGAGGCTGTAGGGAGTTGGAAGAGGTACCGGGAGGAGTGTGGGATGGAAGAAAATCAGCTCTCAGTTACCTCATCTGTAACCATTCTCTGTAACCTTCACCTCAAAACTAAACCTGAAGTCACTATAAGTCTCTACACGGCGTTTATGTTTAGAGTCGGGCAGGTTCTTTGTGTTGGATGAACTTTGCAAGATCCTGGATGGTCGGCGGTGCACCTGTTGTCACTCATTACTTGACCACCGTACTAAACCAACCCGACTCCTTCCTGCTACTGATGTTATGATACTACCCCCCCCCCTACGTCCTGGTTACTTATTTTATTAAGGGACAACTAAATCACGGCCATGTTGAGAGAGAGGGAACAGAAGAGAGGTCCGTCCACACTTTCCTATAACCGGATTTGTCACACCGAGTTCCTGCTACTGTTGACGTCATTATACTGTACTACCACCCCCTTGACCAATCCAATTTCCTGCTGTTGCTGACGTCATTATACTCTACTACCACCCCCTTGACCAATCCAATTTCGTGCTGTTGCTGACGTGTACAAGGGGTCTCTCTCAGCTGAATTCAATCGTCTGGCGTTAACTAATTAAAGTGAAAAGTGACGTCCACTAGTGAAGGTTCAGGTGATCAGTGTAGAAGGTAAAATTATGAACTGGTGAGATTCCTTTGCTCCTCGGGAACTTTATTTCGGTGTTTATCTTTAAAATAGCAAGGTAAGAGTGACAGTATTACCAAAAAATTTACCTTCTGGGACAAGCCGCTACCCACCGAGGTGTGTGTGTACCTAGCGACCCTTCTGCCCTAGCCCAAGGTTGCTCCCACGATCTTGATATCCTAAACCAGTTCCCTAAACCCCCAGAGGCGAGACTTAAGGCGCGTGGTAACGTGTGGGTCAAACATGAAAACATTAACACTATAATAACCACAGAAACTGATACACTCACTGTACGGCAGAGAGTTTATGTAACATTGACTAAATATTGACTAATTTGGTAGCCACCTTGTGTATGAATATAAAAAAATTTACGTCAGAGTGCCACAGAAGTTATGCCGTGTCATTACCAGGTCAGTGTCACTCTTACTGCAACGGAAGAGTGAGAGAGGTATGAGGGATGGATAAGGTAGCAGGGCGGTGATTGATGTGATGAGGGGGGGCGGGGCCGGCTGGGGAGGGGTACGGTAGCAAGGACGCTGGACGCCTGGTGGCCACACAACATGACCACCCCACCTCCTCCACCTGGACCTCCTGCACCTAGAATAAGTTCAACTTGATGCCCCTACAAACACACTACTCTACATCCTGGAACAATAAGGAACACCATAAAAAACTAGACAGGTCTCATCAGCACACACAGGCTGGAGTAATATAGTGAGATATAACCACTAGAGAGAGGCGCAGATTTGGGTCTGCATCCATCTCAGCTACTGAGAAATCATCCATCGAAGTTAATCTGTGCAACACCTGACCCACCATCACGCCATCATGAGCTCCACACACACAACCTGCCTGGGTAAAACAAAAACACAAATATCGATCGACACATTGAAAGAGACTCGAAAACACATTTTGATTCATAACTATTAAAGACAAATACAGACGAAACCTGAACTTTTGTTCAAAGTATTGAACGGTTCCAAATATATATAATGAACCCAA